TATTAACGTGAGGGGATTTGATGTCAACGGTCCAACTATCCCTCGGCAACCTGGCGGGTCGATCACGAGACCACCCTCGGGAGGGTTAGGATGTCCTGCATGCGCGGATAATGTGAACATGCGCTCTCCCTCACATGACAGAAACCCTAAGCATTGCAGGTGGTACGATAAGGAAGACTACCATTGGGAATGTCCGAGCTGTAAGAATAGCTACAGCCAGAACAATCCTGGCCATGTACGGACACCAAGCAAATACAAGTTTGCCAAACCTTGGAAACTGCCCGAGAATCACGGACCAGCACCACCAGCTCCTGATGAACCAGCAGCACCACCTCCCGAGGCACAAGCCGCACCACCACTTGTGCGGCTACGAGCACCAAGACCCGGCTCTAGAGCCGGGCCCGCAGCGGGCGCCAGTAGCCACGACATTACAGTAGGCATACATGCTGCTGAACCTGCTGCGGGGCAACCTGCCTCGAGCGGAGTGGGTAGTTCGGATGGCCACATCCGACTGCCACAGATCAGAGTCAGATGTGGCCGACAGCAAGGAGGATATCCACCTTCACCGCCACCTGCGGGTAAACCTGCTGCACGCCCACGACTTCCAGACTGGTCAAGTTTCGACGTACAAGTCACTCTACAAAACTTAAGCCTTGATCAAAGCGTGGTAACACGCGAGCCGCGGAAGCTACATTGGCGTTGGTTCCATGAGAAAAAGCCTAAGGTGAGACTCACCTTAACCAAGATAGGTCTGCACAACGTCAGACTCAACCTGATCAAAGATGTCTGCGGCACGTGTCGGGAGTGCTGGGCTTGGGACAAGCTGGGGCATACGGTTATGCCATCTACTGCACTGCCTGGCAAGTTCCACGAAGAAGTTGAATGTGACTTTCTGTTCTACAAACAAGAACCTGACATATGTCAGATCATCGATCGTTGCATTCGCTGTGCTACTGGAATGGAGATACCGGACAAGACAATGACCAGTGTTCTGGACGCGTACCATCAGTGCTGGATGCGCTTTGGACGCGCAAAGGTACTCTACTCCGACGGAGGGGGCGCCCTCAAGAAAGACGCTGCGGAAGCAGCCCTTAAGGCAAAAGGCACTGAACTAAAGATACGCGCGCGTGGACAACGCGCTACGACGACCGATGCCAGAAATGGCACACTGCGCCATCTACTTCGTTTCATGCCATGTCATGGTTAGACGAACCTCTTGTGTTCATACGACTACTGCATGAAGCCTTGTTTGCCGCCAGCGCGTTCACTTTTTACAATGAGGTGTCTCCATGCAACGCCCCCCTTAGACGGCGACCGGCACTGCGTCCTGACTTGCCTACCCTGGATCTCGAGCAGCCGACGGGGGCGTCGGATCATTCTCGATAACAGATGATACGCAAGGTATGCATTGAAGCTATCACACGGCCTCTGCAGCAGCCAAGACCAATCGTGCATTACGTACTAGGACAACTCTCACCGGTCAGCACTACTACGATGATGGAGATCTAGTTGATTACCATCGCCCCACCACCACGAAGGACGACTGGGGAGGCTGGAATGGCCCGTTCCCGGTCGTAAGACATGTTCCCGACAGGGGTCAAGGCATCATTCGAGTAGGGAACCGCGGCGTTCAGGTACAATACAGCGATGCGCGACATTCACTTTACGTTGACGCTTTGATTGCAAGGGAGATTGGCTCAGTCTACCTGCGGGGAGACCTGCTATGACATGTGGCTATGTCCCAACCAGGAAAGTGACGCTTCAGATGACATGTGCAAACCGACTATCTCCTACGGTACATATGGCTTTACAATACCTTATCAGAAACTCCTTCCGCATCGAGAATGTAGTATCTGTTAGGTTAGCCAAGAGTATCCACAAGCTACCTCCGGTGGCCTGCGCCGACACATGCACATTGGTCCACTATGGCAACGATGCGAATCCAGGGTTTCACGAGTATGAAGCAGAAGGCGCCGCTCTTAACATTCATGATATAACTGGATTAGCGGATTCGAGAATCATCCAGTGCCTGAAGTCCACCAAACCTCAATCGGGCTTTGACCAGGACGTGACAAAGTTTGAGGAATTGGAGGTTATACCGACACAGGACGGAACCGCAAGAGAAGCCCCAGAAGCCGAACCACCCCATGAGGATGGACAGTTTCCCACGGTACATGAGGAATCGGAGGCGGACCTCAAGGCACATATTATGGAAGTGTGGCATACAGAACTACCCGATGAACGGGAACTACTGGAGGCAACTCCACTAGAGGACCTTTTCACAGTACCCACGCAAATGATTCCAGACAACAGTGTGCTGATCACTGTAGCTGAAGAACAGCGGGAACACCTGCCTAAGTGGGGGCACCCACACGACTCCGACATCGAAGAGACGTATCATGTCCCAGCGTGCCCCACGGTCGAAGACTGCAGTAACGGACTGGACCCAGACGAAAACGGACAATATTTAAGTTCTGCATTACGGCTGAAATGTCAAAGGTAGTCCTATCCGAACAACAGCACAGGACATTAGATGCCGACCGTGCTGCCACCATGCGAGTATATATTGCCGCCGCTGCAAAGCGAGCTGCGGTCGTCAAGGAAGACGACCTCCTCGCGAAGGCTGACGCCCAGGCGAATCCCGACAGAGTATCGAAAGCCCTGTACACTGAACTCAATACATGGTTTGACAACAAGTGTATCCAAATTCAAGACATTCTCAAGCGCCAAACATCATGACTTCGAGGTCGTGTACAACTGGAAGTTTGTGAAGAACGAGAAGGGCGAGACGGGGCGGACCATCGGATTGCGCCTGGTGATTCGAGGTTTCATGGGCCCTGAAGCCTTCGACGTGGAAACCTTCTCGGGAACAGCGCGGCGGCCAAGCCAGAGGTTGCTCGCAAGCGCGGCAGCGTGCAAGAAGCAAAGGGCCACTGCTTCCCTCGAGATCAACATGGCCATCCTCGAAGGGTTGACCTACCAGGAGCTTGCTGTGGCAACTGGTGACAAAGAACGTGTGGTGTGCTTTACTCAGCCGCCTGGGTCGGCTACGGTGCTTCGAAACTCTCCCAGGATTCGAGCGCCACGACGAATCGAAGCACTGCTTGCAGTGCCTCATGCCAGGCACTGGCACCAAGGACGCACCTCGAGCTTCCTCACCAAAGCTCAGAAGGACCACGAGAGGTTTAAGTCTCAGACACGTCCTACGACGAGGAGTTCGGACGAGCAGCAACCTGCTCACAGCCGAACACGTTGATGACACCAATATGGCCGGCACAGAGGACACCATTGACAAGTGCGTCAAGTGCGTGGAGGACACCTTTGGGAAGTGCAAATCCAACGTGCACGCATGCACCAATTGTGCCGTGATATATACCGAGGATGAGGACGGCAGTGTCACGTTGGACCAAGACGAATACATCAAACCGCTCCGTCATATACAACATCCTGTACTTACAGTCGCCGACGCCGACACCCAAGCATCCAAGATGGTTGCAGACGTGTTCGTCAGCCCCAGAGGCGCATTGGCGCATGCATGAATCACCCAGGTGTGGTTGATGGTTTATGTTGTCTCTCTACAACGTGTCCAAGAACAAACTAACATACAAATGCGACGACTGAGCGCGATTACCAGGAAACTGCAGGCCTGCCCTATGAAGATCGTCTACTAAGCGATGACTCCCACGGGCGAATTTGACCTGCACAACGACAGAGGTTATCGACGCTTGAGTGGAGATGCCGATGGCGAGGTCAAATGTTACGGTATTCGCGGGGCAAACCTGCTGCGGCGTGGAAGCACGCCATCCGGCAAGTCTGTCGCTCACTTGATCGGTGCGCGCTGCAAGTCTCACCGCTTGCAGGCCCGCTCGAGCTATTTAGCAGAGAAATTCGCAGCAGCCCACAACTTGGAGGATTGCTATCCGACCGTCGTGACTCGGCGCGAGCTCCATGCAGGGCCGCTAACGCCCACTCAGTTGTAATACATATTTGGAGTGGGTGGCCTGAGCATCAAGGTCACTTCGAGCATAGATGCTGAGTCTGTTTTAAGTCCTTGTCAAGCAAAGGCTTGAAGAAGCCAAGTGAGGGTACCCTTTAGGAGACATCAGCTGGATACGACAGATGATGGAGCGAGGAGTCGTGCGCAGTATTCAAGTGTGTGACACCCGCGATATGACCGCGGACGGTCACACAAAGGGGAGCATCGACAGAGAAATGCTCCGACAGGTCATGGGAGGTACGCAATCCTTCAAACATGACTTAAAGCGTCATGCTCCTTATCGGGCTGGCCAGACATCTCGGTCTGCAGCCGCCTGAGGAGTACTCGTATGCACAGTAAAGTGCAGGCAAGGCAACTTGCGCGCGGGTTCACCTTACTTATGGCCCCGTCCTTTTGCTGCCCTTTTGTACACAGTAGCTGATGTACCTGCTGTATAAAAGGCGGCGGACTCACGCTTCGTTTCCCTCCCCCCCCGGCTCTAAAGTGAGCTGGGCGATGCAGGTGAGTGGGAACGAGCGTGCGCCCGCGGCCGCTTGGCTCAAAGCGGCCGGCCGCCCAGATCTGACTACACCTTCCGTTCGAGGTGTATTGTTTGCCATCGATACCAAAACTGCTTGAGATGGCTCGCTTTCCAATACTGGGACTATCGTTACTACGGTACAACAGAGCTGGAGCTGGGCCTCGCCTAATGCGAAGTTGTTGGTTGGGCTTCCCAGCCCTTTCAAACTGGTCTTGGAGGCTGCGATGGCCCCGTGGGTACCTCGGATGAGCTCGTGCCCGCACCCCCTCTCACCGAATCTTGGACCCCAGAGGGGGGGGAGAGGCCAAGGGGGAGAGGGACAGCCGAGTGTCGCACACGCATTCTCACAGGTCACAGCCCTCCCCAACATGACAGCATGGCGGAGACGGGCTCGGACAGGCAAGTGGCACGACGCGAGGTACGCGGAATACATGACAGCACAGCGGCCCATCACCACTTTCCACAGCCATGCGCTCCCAAGAGGGCTGGTGGATACGATTTCGTATACGTTCCGATGGACTTCAAGAGAAGGCTGTGCAAGGGTTATTCCTTTGTGAACATGGTTGCGGCGGAGCATCTCCAGCGGTTGGTCGAGGTCTTCGACGGCTACAGCCGGTGGTCGCACTCTTCCATGAAGGTCTGCCAGGCGAGCCTGTCGCACACGCAGGGCTTGACGGCGAACGTCGAGCGCTATCGGGACAGCCCTGTGATGGATGATGCAGTCCCGGACATCTTCAAGCCAGCGCTCTTCGTGGGCAAGCGTCAGGTCCCATTCCCTGCACCCACTTGGACGCTGCCGCAGGGGACCCAGAATGTGTGAGTCCCTGTATACAAACAGCGTACGTGCGCACGTGCAGCGATTTGGCGCGGGTGAATTTCCCTGCTGACTCCCCATGTGTTGCCATAGTTGTCGAAGCGAGCGGTGGATCCGTCAGGGCGAAGTCGCTCTCTCAGGCCCGATTCGACCCGGGCGATCCGGCACGATGGGGGCGGCCCGATCCGCTCTATGGACTGCCCCGACTCGATGCGGCCCGAACGGCCGAATTCGGTCGGGCGTCACGGCTGAAGGTCTCCACGCGCGGCCGCCGTTTTTCCCCCAGGCTCAGGGTACCGATCCAGAGGCCTGCGCCTGGTGTCCCTTGAAGGTGGAGGTTGTCCACCCCAGCCTCCGGGTGGTTGGCTTGCAGCCTGCTGGCCAAATGATCTCCTGCTGCGGTCGTAGCGATGGCTTCATCGGTCCGTGGAGTTCGCGCAGAGGCGTCCCTCCCCGGACTCAGGCCCGAAAAGAGGGAAGGCGGGAGGATGAGGACGAGGAGTGGGAGCAGGACGAGAGCTCAAGTGCTATGCAGTCGAAGCGGCCCCGCCGCTGGGGCGCTGGCGTTCTTGGGACGCGCCGGCCTCGAAGGCTCCAGGCGGATTCCCAGGCACGAGCTCCACCGCAGGCGGCGGCCAGACCCGAGCCCCGCGCAGACGTCGACCCCCCTATTGAAGCCCCCGGAGGCCGCGCCGGGAGGCAGCACGGGGTGCTTCCCCTCCAGGGCCGACGGCCTCTGGCGAGGGCCCCCTGGGGCGAGGCCGCCCGCTGGAGCCTCGGCCCCGGACACCCCCCCCCGGGAGTGCCCCGGGGAGCCCCCGGGAAGCGGCGTGCGGGGGATGGCTTCACCCTCACGGCGCGTGGCGGGTCGTGGCCCGGGCCAGACGCGTCCCCTCCCCGACCCCTCGCGTCACATGCTGGTGCTCACGCGGATGCTACGGGCCTGTCCCTCTACAGGAGGAGTGCTCAAACATAGCTTCAAGAATAGGCTGGGGAGGATGTCGTGCTTACTTTTTTACCATTTGGGTTTTTTTGCTGGCTGTTTCTTATTTTTCGTCCAAAACCCCCTCTGTAGGAGGACGCGCCCGACCCAATGCTATGGCGGTCGCAGCGCACCCCCGCCCCGACGAGCCCCACCCCCCAATGCTATGGCGGTCGCAGCGCACCCCCGCCCCGACGAGCCCCACGCCGCCCCGGGGCCACCGCCGACTGGGGCCCCACGACCCCCCCTCGCACCCCCCGGGGTGGTGAGTGCTCCTGGAAGGTTGGAAGACATCATCTCCGAACGACACATGAGCGGCTTACGGTAGGTTTGCGTCGTGTCGACCAGCGGCGACCCCAGCGTGGGCGTTCGAGGTTGAACGCCGCTGGCGAACCAGAATCGATCGACGTTGAACGATCGGACGTTGCGGCAGCGGCCGATCGTTCAAGGTTGAACGATCCCTGCGGTGTCAAAAACCAACGCTGGGGTCGGCACGACACGAACCTGCCGTAGGTGCCTCGCGTCCTTGCGCTCCGCGGGCCAGGATGAGACCCCTTCCAACCCATCGTCGTCAAATCTGTGTGAAATGACGGGGCTGATCCTAGGATCCGCAAGAATCGATACCAGGTTCACGCTGATCGGCGGAGATCAGATCCATCGCACCTCCAATGCGAACCAAAGCTCGATCCCCGCATCCGTAAATCAGATATGCCCTACCGCCACTCGTACTCCTCGTGCCCCACATCTGAGCCAGTCTGTGTCCGGGCCAACCTGGGGACGTCTGCATTCAGGCAGGCCGAGGACCTGAAGACACACCGCTCCATGGAGCGTTCTGGACACCTCCCAGAGCGCCCCGGAGCGCTCCGTAGCGCCGGCCCTCAGAATTTCACGAGTCGCCTCCGCCCGAGCCTGCCCGCATCCTGCCAGGGGAGGCGCCCCCACCAGAGGGAGGCGCCGCCGTCCTCTCTTCGTTTTTGGTCTTCTGACTGCGCGAGCTCCCTCGAGCTCGTCGTCGTCCTGCTCCTCGTCGTCCGAGCTCCGCGAGTCCCCTCATCCCCCCACTCCTCGTCGTCCTCCTCGCTGTCCTTCTCTTGCTTCCTTTCCAGCCCGTATTTCGAAATACGCCCCCCAGACGTGTCCGCAGGCAAGGGACATTTGGCTTGAGATGTCTTTGCAAACTGTTGTCATGAGGCACGTTTTGCCAGCGAGTACCCCGAACAGCTTATTGAATCGCTTCGCTCATTCCGCCGGCCCATAGTGTAGCGTCGCTGGCACTTGCTTGCGTGCTCGGGGGGGCATTTGGGTGGCCTCCTGGGGCCGCTTGGGGGCCTCTTGGGGGCCTCCTGAGGGCCTGTTGGGGGCCTCTTGGGGCCTCTTAGGGGCCTCTTGGGGCCTCCTGGGGACTTCTGAGGGCCGAGGGCTCGAAATATTGTTTCGTGTTCCCCCCCTGGGGTCCCTCTTGGGGCGTTCTTGGGGCCCTCTTGGGCCGTCTTGGAGGCCTCTTGGGCCGTCTTGGAGCCCTCTTGGGCCGTCTTGGGGCCCTCTTGGGGGCCTCTTGGGCCCTCTTGGGGCGGTCTTGGGGGCCTCTTGGGCCGTCTTGGGGTGTCGTGAAGCCGAAAAGGTGGAAACGCCAAAATCTCTCCAAAACCTAAGGAAAAGCAGTGAATTTTGCCTCTTGGGGCCCTCTCGGGAGTGCTCTTGGAGGCCTCTTGGGGCGTCTGGGGGCCATCGTGGGCGTCTTGGAGCGATCTTGTGGCATCTCGGACCCCTCATGTAGCATCTTGGGGGCCTCTTGGAAGCCTCTTGGCCCTTCTTGGGGCTCTCGGGGACGTCTCGGAGCCGCGTTGGTGCGCTGCTGGAGCGCCCTGGTGACTCCTCCCGGGACTCTCTCGGAACCTTGCCGGGGTACTTTCCGCCCGGGGGCCCCCAGGGGCCGCCCCGCGCGCGCGAAGTAGAAAGATTGTAAAGCAGTCACCGGAGATCTTAGCACGCCTCTGGCCCGTTGGGCCGGCGAATTAAACTGTGGATGTTTCAACAATGTGGTCAAAGCTGCGTCGTGCAAGCTGTGTGATGTAAGCTGTGCTTTATGGGGGGTGCATGGTGTAAGCAGTGCCGGATAGGGGCTAGCCATGCGGTGCAAGTTGTGAGGCGTAGGCGATTGTTGTTTGTGGTGTTGGATTTGTTGTGTAAACTATGGGGTGTCAGATTTGCGATGTAGGCTCTGTGGTGCAAGCTGTGTGCCACAAGCTATGTGGTAATCGCTATGTGGTGCAAGCTGTGCGGCCACTCCCAGCGCATGAGGCGCTCACGAGGCGCCCAAGGGCGGGCACCAGGCGATTGAGGCCAGCACATGTTCGGCATACCGCTCTCTCTTGAGGCTGGACGTTTCCACTTGTGCTGTGATCACACGACGGACGACCCGTTTTCAACACGGGGCTATCGTTTTAGACTTCCGCCAATGTTGTGACCATGATCTTCTGATTTGGTGGACAGCTTGCACCAGCGGGAGGCACAGTCTTCAGCAACTGTGGCTTTCTTGGGACGCTTCGCTGAAGCGTATCATCCGACTTCCTCTGCGTTTCATTCAGCTAGAAGGATGGAGGGCTGATCCTTGGCAAAACTAAGGGCTCGCCTGAGTGTCAGACCCACCGAGCGTCGTCATTCAGGCGGGGCGTCCTCTGCAGTTGCAGGGAATGCTTGTAGGGACTTGGAGGAGTCTTGGGGCTGGGGGGGAGGTGCTGCAGCATCAGCAGTGATGTGTCTTGGGCTTGCTCCTAGTATTCCTCCTCTTCTTCCTCCCTGCGCCCATATCCGCCTCCCCTAATTTCCTCCTTAGAATCATCCTTGCCCTCATCATTGTCACTCCCCTCCTCCAAGGTGTTCCTCCTCTCTCCATCTGGCCCACATCCACCTCTTTCCTTTTCTATTTCTCCCGATGCCCCCTCGAACCCCATGGAACTTGAAACCTTTGCAACCTTCAAAACTTGCGTCCTCGCTGAAATTCCCCTAGACCCACCAGTCAACCTTCTCCTCTCTCACATGTGCGCTGTGGGTGTTTGTGTTGCACCCTCTCTTCACGCAGATGCACGGTGTGAGTGCTGAGGTGCACGGCGGGTTGGCCAGTCGGGGAGCCGCGTGGTGGCAGCATTTGTAATCCTGACCATCTTGGCCCCCCGAGGTCTCCAGATGGCACCGGGGGCAAGTAGAAAACGCCCCAAACATCACAGAGCCTTGACCCTGCTCGGCCTCCTCCTCCTCTTCTACACGATCCTTCGCCCACCACCCCGACGAACAGCTACCACTCACACTCACAGCAGAAGGATAGCTGTGGATGTCCCCAGGGGCCCTGCCTGGGCGCGAACCCTATCGAGGAGGGGCGCCCTCCATACACCACCGTGTATCCCAAAGACGTTCCCCAAGGCAGAAGGCCCCGGGGCGTTTTCCCCCACCCTGACTCCGGATCCGCCGTACTTTGGGGAAATTCGCAAGTGGGGCTTGGAATTTCCGCCCTACTTTTCAAGCCCCGCTGATGCCAATTTCCGCCCTACTTTTCTGTTGCTGTTTCTGTGGATTTCCGCCCTATTGTATGTTGGGTGCAGCAATTTCCGCCCTACTTGTATGGCCTCTTATAGGTGGATTTCCGACGCAATTAAAAGTTGGAAAAAAAGCCAAAGTAGGGCGGATCCGGAGTCAGGGCACTACCCTGGGAAGATCATGCAACTCTCGCGCGCGGTCCGTCTCCACAAGCCCCTCGATCTCGATGTGGGCGCGGAGCGACGCGCGATTCGATGGTTCCGCCGTCGGCCGCGGCCGACTCAACACTGAGATCGGGGGTCCGAGGGGGGCAAAGAAATTGAAAGGGTAATTGCGTTGCTTGTGGCAGGGCGGGGGTGCAGGAGCAGTTCCTTCCTCCCGAGTCGTGTTCTGGCAGTGCCCTTGGGCCCCTGGACAGCCCCGGGGCGCCGAAGAC